CCAAATCCAGGGAAAATGTTCTTTAAGCCAAAACACAAAGTTCCCCACCATTGCTGGAAATGGTCCACAAATACTGGTACTCCTTACACTATTTCCCCTTAGGACCCTCAGAATTACTTTCTAAACATCAGTCGGAACCTTAAAATTTTAGATTAAAGTCCCAAGCATTGATGTCCCAAACCACTGAACGTTAATTCTGATAAAATTATGCCACATTTACATTTGAAATCTTGATGATTAATAAGAATTAACAAAAGAAGGGGTATGGATGAAAGAATTTGAGATTGGAAATGAAAAACAAAAATTTGTTTTCAAGCATTTAGAAAACTAATTCAGCTTTGTTATTTGCATTCAAACAAGGAATGTGCTTATTACAAATAATGATCTTTAGTTCATTTAGCACCTAGAAATTTGGGGAATATACGCAATGTTCTCTGATTTCCTTTTTTTGTCCATTGTACTTTCTCTTACCATAGAAATAAATAAAACTTCGTTTCTGCAAAGTGGTTTATCATTAGATTTCTCACCAACAGCCTGACGCCCAGTTTCTCCCCTCACTCGCTGGTTCTGAGTTTTCTCTTTTCCTTTGCTCATTAAGGCAGAGTGGGACACTGTACTGTAACTGCAGGAAAACTATGCAAGACCTAAACACATTCCGGCACCTTAGGTTCTGGTAACAAACTAGTAAGGGGCTTAAATTCTTCTTCCTACTAATCTGCAATAACAAAACTCTTTTAAACGAAATATACAATTCCAGAGATTTTTCTCTGTCTCTGTGTCTGTCTGTCTGTCTGTCTCTCTCTCTCTCTCTAGAGAGAGAGAGAGAGACAGATAGTTATAGATATCTATATCTATCTCTCTATATATACTATCAGTCTATAGAGAGAGCGATAGATAGATAGATAGATAGATAGATAGATAGATAGATAGATAGATAGATACAACACCCTCACTCTCTTGCTCTCTCTATATAGATACATACATGTTTCTCCCTTCTTTTCTCCTCCTGTTCACTGTGGGCAGGGTCCATAGAATGCAGTCACACTGGACAAACCCATACCATTCACAGCAGGTAGATGATGGACAGCTGGGAACCGGGGATAAAGCTCAGGGGCACAAGCACTTGCCTGGCAAGCACAAGGTCCTGAGTTCGATTCTTGGTACCCAAATAAAACTGAAGGACAGCTGAGTTCACATTCAAAAACATCCCTGCTTTCCCCCAAACTTTTGCTGAGTCTGTGATTTAGATATAAAAATGTGAAAATAATGCCCCATATCTTTAATGCCAATATACAATATAACACTCAAATTCAGATTTTATATAATGTTTCATGGTGAATTCAAATTTAATTTTCTAACAGAAGAGCTGTGGATGCTGGTGGGAAGGTGCTCAGTAGCGCTGGCTTTGGTACGGTACAACTGTTTCAAACACTTGCCTCTGACTTCATTCTTCAGTGAACATCTCTGGAATCAGTAATTACTGTGGGAACACATCTTTAGAGCTATTCTCAAAGAGCAAAATTGGCAGAGGTTGGTTTTATAAAGTTCACAAAATGAATGGTGCCTTATTGCCATAAACAAAGGGATTTTTTAACAACCAGCTTTAAAATACCCAGCGAATTACTGATAAGTGATTCAGTGAATAAAGATACGTCTTTAATTGACAAGAAAATGAAGGATTAGGCTAATAGTGCATTATAGCAATATGCCATGAATTCAAATTTGGGTTTTCTTCCCCATTTGAACTAAGTAATTTAAAAGCCTTTCTTTAAAACACGAGGACGATTTCTCCTGCAACATTCTGCTTAAAATCTTCTAAAATATATGCAAGCAGCATTCGATCGTTGCGTGAATTCTCCAACTAACACTTGTGTCCTCACAACTCTGTATTGGAGGTAACATATACTGATTTTCTGACATTGCTTTTTAAACTTGAGTGTTCTTCATAAAATATACTTGTGTGCTAAATGCATCCAAGTAAAATTAATAGTCCCTTTAACTGAAAAAGTTTGTAGGCATGTTTTAAATTTTTGATGTCAAGAATGAAATATTTAAAAAGAACAAATAACTTTTCTTTAATAACATGGGATTCATCCAGACATATTTTAACATTTTTCTATGTTAAGTCAAGATAAGGAAAACCCATGTGCCAATATAAAAATTATGAGTGAATAATATGAACTTTAAGATAACCAATGAAATATTGACATTCTGCTCCAGAGGTTAAGTATATGTATTTTATTTTCTTTGAGAATGAGAAAATTAAACTGAACTATAGCCATTCTTTCTGGTTTAAGTAGTGATCACTCAGTGACCGAGGGGATTGGTTTCAATATTCCAGTGTATGCCACATTCTGTAGATTTTGAAGTCTTTGTATAAAACAGCACAGTAGATGCATATCACAAATGCTCATCTTCCCACTTTAAATCATCTCTAGATTACTTACAATACCCAGCGCAATGTAAACACCATGGAAAGAATTGTTATACTATATTGTTTAGGGAATCATGACAGAAAAATGTCCATATATTTTGAGTATTTTTTTAAGTTTGAGTACTTATGCTTATGAGTATTTTTTTAAAGTACAACACTGACAGTTTATTTTATTTTATTTTTTTATTTTATTCTTGTCTTTTTGAGATAGGTCTTGCTATGCAGTTCAGGTTGGCCTTGAGCTCACTTGGTAGCCCAGGCTGGCCTCTAACGCACAATGATCTTCCTGCCTCAGCCTCCCAAGTGCTGGGATTACAGGTGTACACCACCATGCATAGACTTTATGTAGAGTATTTATGTTTGAGTGTGTGTTTTAAGTTTTTCTGAAAGTTTCCAAAATGAGTTAAGTCATATGTTGAACCGCTACAATTGAGTCACTAGCTACATGCAGCAGGACATGCACAGGACAGGCACAGTTCATTGCACAATGAAGCATATCCTCAATTTATATGCTAGCATATTTTAGTTCCTTTTATCCCAATACAGTTGTAAAAGAAAATGAAAATGACAACAGTGAAAGAAAAAGTAAGAAGAAAAATAATAAAAGCAATGAACTAGAGAATTAACCCCACCCCAATCCTGTGCTACAAGTTCGAGAGCTGCAATTTCTTACTTCCACACTAGTCTCAGGAGGCACTGGTTATCCCTCTGTTGTTACACACAACAGAACCGAGGGAGGGCATGGGGTACATAGAGAATTTCCCAGCTGGCAGCAATGAAGTCAAGTTTTAAACCCATATGTACATCGTTCACTCACTCTCATGTACTGGCTTAGGCATAACTGCATGTTCACTCCTTCACAGAAGATGAAACAAGATCTATCATTTTAGATTTCACAATCACTCAAAACTCATAACGAAGTGCTGGGGCCAAGCGGTTTACCATGGTTTCTGGGAGTGCTATTCTCATCGCGGCTAGACTGGCAAAGGGGCTTTCCAAGGAGAAAAAGGTGGCACGCAATAGCCTCTCACACAGAAGAGAAAGCTTTGCTGAGAAGAAGGTATCACGTTCTTGGATTTATCTGTTTTCAATGGATAAATGTAAACTGGAGCTATCAGGACATCTAAACATACACCAATATGTGAGGGAAGCTAAACAATTCTAATCACATTGAGGAAATATTTCTTTGAAACCTTCATTTATTTCATTTGTAAGATAAGGAACACTCTTACTGTTGCTGGAGCCAGAATGTGTCTTGGCTTTTCCTGTATTAATACCAATAAAAGCTAGTATTTATATCATAATCCACATGAAATTGTATACATTGTATTTATTGCAGGGGTTTGTCATTCATTACAGCACAATATAAAGTACACTCTGAATTTTTATTGCATTTACAGATGACCTTTTCCCATTTACAATAACTGGAAAAACAAATATAAGCTTTTATAGTACATTAATAATACATGATAATTTAGTAAAAATATATATCATTACATAGATAATAAAATATTCTTAAGCCTGGCCAATGATACATTCCTGGCCATAGTTTAGCTGTGCAACAGTGGATGAAAGTTAGAGCTCAAAAGATAACAAAGATTAGGTAGCTTGACGCAGCTATGTATAAGGAAAGGCCAGCTGAGTCAGGTTCCCGGGATGACGAAAGCTTGCTCAGGTTGAAATGAGAAAGAAGACACAAGAATGAGGATGTGGGCTACTGTACCAAATGCAGCTTGAAGAAAGTGAGAACTGACAGTTCATCATCTTGTTCTGCATTGTAGAGGTTATGCGTGATTTTGATGAGAGATACTTCCGTAGAAGTTTGGAGACAGAATTCTGCAAGAATGGATTTAAGGGGATTGGGAAGAAAGGAATTTTAGGTAGAGAACTTAGAAAATATTTGAGCAGTCTTATCAAAAGGAAGGCCAGGAAAATGGGTAGATCTCGATGATCACAGGGGATCAAAGGATGTTTTGGTAGGATTAGATATACACAGAATAGCCTTGTGCTGTTGGAAAAATCTAATGTGTGTGCGGGGATTAATGATTAAGCAGAGAGGTGGACAATTAGGGAAGCATTTTCCATTCATTAATAACAAGAGCTGCTTTAGTACTCAAGTATGAGTGGCCTTGGAAGTTTTATCCATTATAATATACAGAAAGGTCAAGGGTATGCAGACAGGGAATGATACAATGGACAGTCCATATAACATTTATTTTTGAGAGTGCAGTACTGTATAACTGGAATAAAGGATTTTGGCTCTAGAAGTTATTGAAAGGTAATAGTTAATGAAGATGAAATGACAAAAGAATAGTGAACATTATTTAATAAATTGTGTGACAAGTTAGTAAAATGAGAATACTCTGAGTACCACTCCTTACAATCTTTACCAAAATAAATTACCAATTGCTTTTGAAGCTTAAATACTTAAAATCCAACAATTTGTTTAATAACTAAACTGTGATAGTTAATTGACTGTGTCAGCTTTAGTAAGAAAGCTCACCTAAATTGGCTCAGCACAGTTCTGGGCATGGAAAATCCATCCTAGAGAGGATTGTTGCCAGAATGGTATAAAAAGAAAATGAAGAAGGGACTGCTTCTGTTGCTTCAGGGGAGCGCCAGCTTTACCTTCACCTTGGACTTTGTTTCCTGGATTCCAGTGCAGCATCTTCAGCCTCCAGCATCGACCCTTCATCCTCCTGATGTGGATTTGCATGGTACACTACAGTGAGCTCTAGGCCTTTGACTGCATTCATCAGATCTCCAGTGCACTGACAGATCTTTTGCACTCTTCCACACCCAACTCTGTGAGTGGTCATTGTACGCCAATCTCGTAAATTCTAATATATCTGTGCATCTTGTATTAAGTCTGTTTCTCTAGTAGGCACTGAATGATACAGATTTTGGTACCAGGGAAGTGGGGTCTTTGCTGTGACTATACCTGACCATGTAGTTCAAGAGCCTTTGGGACTTGTGAGAAGAGTTTGGAAAGGTTTGGAGATGCTGGCTAAAGACGCTGCCTTGGAATACATTAAAGTATACTTAATGGGAGGTTCTGATCAGAGCTCAGAAGACAAGAATACTGATAGAAATGATACCAGTAAAGATCAGGCTGAGGAGGTTTCAAGCTGGAAAAAAGAATGCACTGGTTATTGGACTCCAAATGATATGTGCTATGCCTTGAGAGAAAGTTTGCCTGCATTTTATTCATGTCCAGAGATTTTGCTTGAGACTGAGATTAAGGACAGCAGGCTAATTAATCTGTCAAAGGAAATATTAAGGCAGTCTAATGTTTGGGAATGTTTATCTTGTGTCATTGTACTTTGGATGTGTTTAACTTTCTTTTTCTTTGCACGGGGGCTCACAGCTAAGAGTTTCCCTAAATTTCAGAGGAAACTTTGGACTCAGACTTTTCACAAAAGTTCTGAAACTGTTAGAACTTTGGCAATTCTTAAGAGATGGACTTATGCATAAAGTGATACACATGAGTCTTTTGGCAGCTGGGGGTAGAATATCGTGAGTTATATGTAGATGTACCCCTAAGTCTCAAGAGGTCATAGGTGGAGGTCTTTGGAGCTTAGTGGATCTAGAGTGTATGATGCTGGGATTAAGGATCTGAAGCTGGGATTGATTTATGGAGTGATGTTAAGGTTGAGGGTGCACCCCCACATACAGAATGAATGTTACCTGCCCTAAGGGTGAGTTGTCTCGACAGAACATAAGGACCAGACAGAAGGCTACTTTTGTTGCTGCTTCTCACTTGATTCCACTGCTTTGCTGCCTTCTTGCCTTCTACCCACCATGAACTGTTTCTCCTCTGTGATCCTCTCTGCCATGCCACCTTCACTGGAGCCAGCCAACTATGAATTGAAACTTCTACAAACTGTGAGCTACAATAAAGCTTTCTTCTTTTTACTTTGGATGCAGAATGTTTTGCCTCAGCAATGAGAGAAGTAACTAAAACACAAACTAGTAGAGAATCGAATCTCTGACAGATGTCCTGATGTGGAAGACTTTCAGAAGTGAAACCATGTGATTAAAAGAGCCGAGTACAAAACTGTATGCTTATTATGAAAATTCTCACTCAGTCTACAATTTCTTACAGAATTTCCAGTAACTGGATTGGTAAGCTTAAATTTCTGCCTGTTCCTACTTTTTCAATTTGCAAATCTATGAAATGTTTGAATTTAAGATTTCTTTTCCTCAAAGTTACTGTTCCCCAGAAATTGCTGATTTCTTTCTGTTCTCTACAATAAGGGAAGGAAGAGTTATGTAAATTCACTTAGGGAAGAGGAAAGAGGAGAATAAAGAAAAAGCTACTCCCTGAAAACATCACATCCACAAAGAGAAGGCACTCATCCTATGCACTTTTGGATATCTATGTATCATTCTACCCCAACCACCCGGATGTGCGAGGTCTGACTTGCTTTGGAGAGGTGTAATTACTGCTAAAGTTTCTAACTATGCTGTTGTAATATTCTTTACAAATTCAAAATAACAAGAAACATTTAATTACTGTTAGTCCCTAAAGATTACGCAAGTTAATGGCTGTAGCTCTGAGTTAAATTTTACTCTCCTAATGTATCCATTCCTGCTACATATTCCTATGTGAGTGTTTCATTTGCATTTTGATTGCCATTGGTAATGATATACCTAGAGTCCAATCAAGGCTGAATCCTGGATCTATTGCATTTCAGTGTGTACACATCTCAGGTAAAGTGGAAGTAACATAACATTCCAATAAACTTCAAGGGATAAAATGAGGTAAAATAATAAAAATATTTTACAATGTGCAAATGCAACATTATGAAATATAACTTTTTGGCTATTTTTACAATGACATATTAACCAAGAAAAACCATCTATTGCATTTATAACCCAGTGTGTTAGCCTTTTTTTAGAGCAAAATTCATTCATCTTATTCCAAAGAAAAATCTGAAAATAAAAACTGTTCAGAGTAAAATTGAGTATATATATAATTCTAAATCTTCAGAAACTTTGATTATAGGATAATTGAAATTACTGAGAAACTTGGCCCTGAAAAAGATTAATAACATACTTTCACAAAACGCTTACATAAATGAAATATATATTTCAACTATTATGACAGATTATCTAAACATTAAAACATCAACCAATAAAACCTAAACCAATAAGACCTAAACATTTTTATTTGCTAATTTTAAACAATAACCTCTTCAAAATAATAGTGAATCTTTATATATTTGTATTCCTGTAAATAATTTAAGGTATTTCCACCCACTACTCGTTTATAATGTTATAGTGTTCAATATTTAAATCATAATAATATAAGTGAAGCTTCAAAATATTGAGAAGAAAATCACTTAGTACTATCAATATAACATAAATATCACTTGTTACTAATTTCTTTTCCATTATGTCTATGATTGCAAACTCAAACACACACAGATACATATATTAGCATCATAGTAACTACAATGAACACAATTTTGTAAGCTGTACTTTTACTTATTTATTTCAAAGGCTGTTCTCATTTCTATTGCTATTAAATCATTCCTTTATGTACAGCATAAAGGGTATTTCTTCCCCAGAGATGGAAAGCTATTGGTTAACAACCTACAGACTTTTCTTCTCTAGGAGACCTGTCAGAAGGAATAAAACCTAGGAAAAACGACATAGTGAATTGAGAAACACAACACAGGTTTGCCGGCCCTCAGTCTGAGCAGACGTGATTGGGAGACTGGGCAATTGCGCATTAGGATGTTTCCAGTAGATTCCACAGTGTCCACAGAGCCTAGTAAAAAGCAAAGTTTTTAACTGAAGTTACTTAAGGCTTTTTAAGCAATTGAATCTCAGTTAGTTCCCTTGAGAAAGGCTGGGAAGATCTTACAATTTTTGCAATTGTTTATAAGGAGACAGCCCTGCATTTTTATGCCTCTTTCTAAAGCCAAAATTTTAATGAAACCATTTTCTCTTTACAGCAAGTTTATTATGCTACCTTGCTTCCCCTAAGAACAAAAGTTTTTCCAAGTCTTACAAATTTCCTACATTCTTAAACAGTGCTCCTCGCCTTTTAAAATGTATTTGCTCGGGGCTGGGGACTTAGCTCAGCGGCAAAAGCACCTGCCTGGCAAGTGCAAGGCCGTGAGTTCGGTTCCCGGTACCGGAGAAAAACCCAAAAAAACAAAACAAAACAAAAAAAATAAAATGTATTTGCTCATTGCAAAATGATGAAAGTTAAATACTATTTTTAATTTAGATTTGCCATTTGATAGATTACCAAGGAACAGACTTGCAACTCAGGATGAGCAGATCAGGTGATTAATGAGGGGCAATGCCTGTGAGCTAAATGGGAAGGATAGAAAAACAATCAGACATAACGCAGCTCTAACCCTGGGTGAGGCAAAAAGAGAAGGAAAGTACTCTGCTTTGAAGCATCTCAGACAGCAATCCAGGTCCAGAAATTTGGCAGTGTTTGTTGGGGAGTCCTTGAGCCAAAGTTGCCTGATTCCTGCATCATAGCTCCCAGAAACCAAGCTTGGTGTTCCCGCTACACCAACGCACTGACAACAAGTGACCTTTTTAGGGCCTGCTAGAACAGCAGTGGTGGAATTTAGGAAACAGTCACCGAGATTTCCCAAACTGACACTTCCTGCAGTCCAGTGAGTTTGTTATACTCCAGAATAAAGCCATCTAAAGCCTGGCATATGGACTAGTAAAAAACAAAGTTATGTAAGGTTTGATGCCTTCTATCCATCTTTTGATGACTTTATTTTGGAGTGAAAATTCTGCCTGGTTTCACCAATTAAAAAAAAATTTTTTTCCGGTACCAGGAATAGAACTCGTGACCTTGTGCTTGGCAGGCAGTCACTGTGCTGCTGGTCTAAATCCCCAGTCCCCTCACCAATTAAAATTTGACATGCCAAGTACCGATGAAGAGTAGAGCTATGAACTTAGGGCACATGGTCTAGATCTGTGTCGTAGAACTGGGTGACAATGAGTTAATGTCAGGGTGATGATTCCAAGAGGGATAAGTCAGACACCAGCACATTGACTGCTGTCAGTCAAATGAATTCCGCAACTGATAGGAAATGGAGAAGAAGGAAACCAAGACTCTGGAAAAAAGAACCAGAACTTAAATTTTTTTCTGAAAAGAAAGTAGATTTATTATTACAAGCTCAAGAGAAATTAGGGTATGAAAATAGAGAAACTCTTTTTATCATGAGCAGATTTAATTCTAAAAAGTTATTTCTATTTAATGAATCCAAATTAACACTGTAGAATTGAGTATTACTTTGGCACACAGCTCAAAATCTTGTTTAACAGTTGCAAATTTAATCTTTTCAGACTACTGAGGAGAAACATAGCACAAATAAGAGAAATAGAGAGTATGAGTAATTTGGAGGAGAAAAGACATAATTATCTAATGGCATCACATTTCCATGTAAGAAACCAGTCAAATCAAGAGTCAGCAAAATAGGACTTGAGGGTCAAAGCCAGTCCGTTATTGTAAATAAAGTTTTAATGTAACAAAGCCACACCAATTTGTGTAAATGCTATTAACAGCTGCTGTTGTTATACAGTGGCAGAGTTCAGCATGTATCCCACAGCATCTAAAATATTTACCAGATGATTCCTTACAGGAAAAGTTACAGGCTATATGTTACAACTAAAGCGCCATTGTATACTGACAAATAAGACTCGTCGCTCCTCAGAGTGAAGGCACAAACTTTATTCTGAATCATCATTACAGTCAGAAAGATAAAGTGGACACACACACACACACACACCTCACTGTTTTCATATGAGGAAGTGTGAAGTTTAATCTTGATTATCATTTGATTGGATTGATAAATGCCTAGGAAAGTAATAATGCACACTTGCACTCTTCCTAGTGTGTCTTTGAGGGTGTTTCCAGAGATGGCCATTGGCAGTACCATCTAATAGTCTAGGGTTCTAACAAAAGCACTTTCTCTCTCTCTCTCTCTCTCTCTCTCTCTCTCTCTCTCTCTCTCTCTCTCTCTCTCTCTGAAATCATGACCCAAAATAAGTCTTTCCTCCTTTAGGTTGGTTTCAAATATGCTGTCACAGTGTCAGAAAGCTGCTATAAAGTGCTTGGTGAGATACACATCTCAGTCACTGGGGAAAAAAGGTTCAAAGTAGTTGAATTAAATACTTAATACTACTTCATATTATTACATACCTGAAGAGGTATTAGGTGATAGAATTGCTTTCCGATTTTCCCACTGTGTAAACTGAGCCGCCAGAGGCTAAGTCATTCCTCAGGATAATTCGGTCAGTTTGGCAAGTTTCTAACTAAAAAGAGTGGCTTCAAAGTCTGTGTTCTTCCTCTCTATTATGTATGGATAGCATTTCTCCTTTTTCCACAAAAGAAAAGTGAATATGAAGGACCTTGATAATGTTGTTTAGCATTACATGAGTACAAAGTGGTACACCAAGACTTCAACAAGCAAAACCAAGACAGCTGCCATTTTCCACATAATCGTCCCTTAATACTGTCCCTAAAAGAGATAATTGGAAAGGTTATATTAGAAAATGATAATCATGTAATGGTTGGAAATATATACCTATGAGAAGAAGTTATTTGTTCCCAGGAAACAAATTATCAGATTTATTTTAAAATAAAGGCAAGATTAATGTAACCTTGGTTGTTCAAACATCAATCCACAGACTCTAGTCAGCTTTAAAAATATACTCTTTAATATCTAACATAAGATATATACAATCTGAGGAATATCTCTAGAATTGTATGTGGGATTATGTCTAAAATGCAATACTAAGAATAACACAAAGCAAGCAAAAAAATCAGTTTTATGGAAGAAGAGAGAAGGTGGGATTGGAATTAATATTCACCTATGAGATAAAGCAAGGCAGAATGACAAGATTTCTAGTCAATGGTAAGAAAAACATAAATGGCATAATTGTGTGGGGAAACTGCTGGCTACTCCATGGTAGAAACAGGATACAAGACGTTTTCCTAATGCAGAAAGCAAATATATGGTCATCTGTTAAAGTACAGATTATACTGATAGAAAACCATTTTTTCTTCTTTTCTTTTAGCATTTATGTGATGAACAAATATTCACTACATGCCAGCCCTTGCCTTTAAAGTGCTTGGTAAGATATACATCTCAGTCACTGGGGAAAAAGGTTCAAAATAGTTGGATTAAATACTTCTGTGACCCCATTCTAAAATACTACTTCAGATTACTAAATACCTGCATAAGTAATAGGTGAATAAATTTATTTGAAAAAATAATGCTCAATTGGTATAGGCTGCCTTAGCCCACAATCTTGACAGAAATAATGATTACCTTGTAGGGCCTAAATGTTCAAATCACATGGCACTACTGCACCTGCTAATAGGGACAGTGCCACGGGAAAGATTTGTACTTCCTAGCAGACA